GTGAGGGGAGAGGGCGTGGGCCGGGGGAAGAGGACGAATGGCGGCCTGTCTCTATTGGGCTGAACTGGTCTGGCCGGTGACAGTGTTGAATACGGCCTGGTGACGCTTGGTGCTATTTAAGTGCACCCTGTGGTGTATTCGTATGTGTGCATTTGTGTGCCATGCATGTTTGTGCGCTGTTATCGGTGGTGTGTGCTAACGACACGCTGGGTTTATTTGTATTTTTGTTGTTGGTGCAGCTGTTCAGAGGGGCCGTTCGTATTATGGCAGTCCGGATCTTACATGTCAGTGGTGTGGAGCGTTTTATTGGTTCCGTGAGGGCTCAACTTATCACCGGGCGTCTACTATCCGAAGACCTGTTTATACGGGTTGTTGTCGTGGTGGCAAGGTTTCTTTGCCAAAGTTCCGTCCTTGGCCGTCGCCATTGGATAGATTGATACGGTTTGACGGAGACGTGACTTCTAATAAGTTCATGCGGTTGATTAGACAGTATAATTCAATGTTTTGTTTTACATCATTGGGTGCTCATATTGATAACAGTATCAATGTTGGTGGTGCTCCCTACGTGTTTAAGATGAATGGAGTGGTATATCACCATATTGGACCTCTTGTGCCTCCTGATGGTTTTTCACCGAAATTTGCTCAGTTATATATGATTGATTCAGGTGACGAGATCGACAGCAGACTTAATGTGTTCGCTAGGGATGACGGCAGTTCTCTTTGCCTAGATCCTGAAATTGTTGCATCTCTTGTTAGGATGATCGATATGCATAATCCTTTGGTTCATAAATTCAGGCTTGCTCGCGAGAGCCTGTGCAGTCCTGATGCACCGAGGGTATCTATACGCCTTTTAGGTAATGACGGTGGACCACATGGTACGCGTTTTTCTGGTCCCACTGTTTCTGAGGTTGCTGCACTTATCGTTGGTGATTTGACACCTGAGCGTAAGAGTTTTGATGTTATTGCTGAAAGTCATTCTGGTGCTTTGAAGCACATATCTGCTCACACATGCAAACGATTTACTGACTACTAAACAATTATTGGTTCACCTTGGTGTGCTATCTATCGGTCATGCTTTCCAAAAAGTATATAATCGCCAAGGAAAACAATAATAGATCTATATTACATAATACATTCAACATGTGACAAGGTCAACAAGCACAAAGAAGAAAAACCATGAAATCAGCAGGATGAGACCATCCAAAGAAGAAATTAAAATAAAAATAATGAAGGAGAGCAATATGATATCTACTTGGTAGCGCAAGTAGAACACTACCAAGCATATCTGCCTCCAGTGGCGAAAGGCTAAAAAAATAAAGGACAGCAATATGATATCTCCTACATAGTTCAGGTAGAGCACTACCAAGCATATTTCCCTCCAATGGCAGCGCCACCAGTGCCTCGGAGAGTCACCGCTCGGGCAGCAGCGTCATGGTGATCATCTATGATCATTGCACACAGAAGCATAGAGAAGCCGAGCAATGTTGCTAGCAGCCCAACTATGAGAACTAGGATCAACTCTGAGCTCACGTCCTCCATTGGAGGCCTCCTCTCGATCTTTTGTCACCGGAGGAAGAAAAGAGGTGAAAATAAGGGAGAAGGAATGAGATACGTTGTGGGATGGAGAAAAAAGAAGAGAGTCTGTGCTTATTTTTATAGCCCAAACTCGGTGTACGATGGGCGAACTTCACCAGCACCGCTCGCCGGTGTTCAGAATGCGAATCTGCGAGCAGTGCCGAAAAGGTATTGGTCCTTGAGATGACTGCTCGCTGTATCGGTAGCGAGCACGCCTCACACTACCACGGTACTGCCCTAGGTGCTCTATTCCCTAGATGGTGCAAGTGGGAGACGTGCGGTAAAGCACGCGAGGCCGGTCTTCAGTAGGCGAATCTGCGAGCAGTGCCGAAAAGGTACTGGTCCGTGAGGTGACTTAGCGAGCACACCTCACACTACTACGGTACTGCCCTAGATACTCTACGTGCTAAATGGCACAAGTGAGAGATGTGCGATCGATCTGTGAGGTGAGTGCTCACTGCACCTAGCACGTCTTGCACTATCACGGTACTGCTCTAGATGCTTTACGTGCTACACGCGACGAGTGAGGGACTTGTGGGAAAGTTCACGAGAGAGAAGTAGATGAGGACTGATGAAAACTTGTGCTTGACTCAATTCTTTTTTGGATTTTGACATGCGTAATTGTTATATGTATGGATCTTTCTGATTTATGAGTTGATCATCGGAGGGGGCGGTGTGTAGTTGTAGGTTTCCAGTGCTCGATCATCGGTGTTTAGGAGGTGAACCTATAAGAAATGTAGCAAAGATGTCTCGCACTACCGTGGTACTCCCTTAGATGCTCTATGCATTAGACGCCACAAGTGGGGGACCTGCCGAAAGCGTGCCACATAGAAGAAAGATCAGACACGAGAAAGAAGAAGCGACTGACCACAAATCTTAGGTTCACCATATCAGCCCAAGGAAGAGATGCTCAGTGGACTGTAACAAGCAAAGATTTAGAACCTGAGAAAAAAATCGCTCTTTTTACATTTTTTGAAGATCTATATAGCAATTATTCAGTTTTCTTTGCCCATAAGCATGGATGCTAATTAATTTTGTTATTAAAAAGATGATGAGCATGGATAATATATGGTCACTACAAGGAATACAATGTGTCAAATAACTGTTCGTCGTTTGTACTTACATTCAAATTTAAAGAGGGTTGATCTGTTTTAACTCTCTTCTACGTATTAAATTATATTTTCGATTTACTACGTAATTTTTGATTCATAGTAATTAGTTGAATTTAGGCTGGACCAAAAAATAATATGTGTGTATTTGCAACCTGTTTGTTTTTTACTTCCAGACTATATGGTTGAAGTTTTCTTTTTTAAAACATTTTCTGTTTACTATAGTTTACAGACTCGACCAGCCCATCTAGCTTCAATCAGTCCATATAGTTTCAACCAGTCCATTTTACTTCAAGCTTCCGTCCGCTCAATATTTAACATTCTGATACAGCCCATACGGTCAACTTTCGTTAGCCCATATACACCATGCATGCATTCGAGTGATAGACTATGTCGTGATTTTTTGGCCACCTAGCAATTTATATGATTACACTAACTTACACTGTTTACCTCAGGAATTGTCTACACTTGCCAATATATAGTTCAAAGCTGTAGACGGGCGCGGCGTGCCGCCGCGCGAGGTTCGCTAGTGATATACATATGCAGCACACACGGTTGGTACTTGGCAGCCCATAGCCCAGACCGTTAGACCAGCACACGCATATCATTCCGACCACAGCCATGCTCGTCTCCCATCCATCTCCTATTCTTTCTCTACGCCTCGTCCATTACTAGGGCACGGCACCGGCCGACGGCGGAGGGCCAGCAGTGGGAGCTAGCGGCAACTCCAAAGAGTGGAGATCCCCGATCCATCTCCCATCTGATGTGGCGGCACTAGTGGTGGCCAGCCGGCAGCGGAGGCAAGCGGAGCAAGGAGCAAAATTGGGAGCAGAGCAACGAGCAGAATTGGTAGCATGGGTTGCTCAGTCAGCTGATCTTTATAAATTGTAATTTATGTGTCATTTACCATGGACAAAGCTAGCTAGTGAGGAATTGATTTGGTTTTTAAAAGGAAAAGATACGATGCGAATGAAGTCGAGGAAGATCCTTCATCACAAGCAGATCATCCTCTACCCTTGGACTTAGTTGAATTGGAACATCAGCAGCAGCAAACCAAAATGAAGGACTTCAACAAAATGCAGGATTACGCCCATAGATTTGGCTTTTTCTGTTTAGTACTCGCCTACTCGGTAGTATATATGTATGTGTCTGTGCACATCTGCTGATCTTGTAATCAACGAGAGCAAAAGTATGCTCTATGCCTACTGAAATGGTATATAGTGTTCAATTTTTTTTAAAAAAATCTGCTCTTCATTAGCTTGGCCCGCCCAGTTTCTTCTTTGTAGCTCCGCCACTGGGCACGTCCATGTCGGTGTGATCTGCATGCGGCCCGACAACGCGGCCAGGGCAGAGGTGCAGTTCATGCATGTCGGACGACAGGCTGCGCATGATCAACGTGTGCGTCCGGAGGGGTGTCGTAAACTCTAGACATATTCTACTTCTACACAAAATACATATTCGATCTCTCTAGGTGTACGTCGTCATTCAAACATTGTCACAAAACCTCTTATTGATCTTGTCATTGTCATACAAAAGTCTAATCTCTTTTCATCTTCTCTTAGGAACCACGATCAATAGCCTCAAAATTGTACTTCCTCCGTCCAAAGAAGCTGCCATTTTAGACACATAATCTCAGTAGTGATGGTGGCTTAGTGGCTAGCACGGCACGCAACCCATTCTGACGTCGTTTGTTGGAATACCTTTGCCCGTGCCCTCTTTTTTCTGCGTTTTTCACTTCGCTAACACGACGCCTCCCCGTGTCACTGCAAATGGGCAGGCCCAGCTGAGCCGCCCTGTGTGAAACGCCGACTCTTTGCCGCATTGAGCGGCATATAGGAGGTCCCGCCCTATGTGAAACGCCGACTCTTTGCCGCAATGAGCGACATATAGGAGGTCCTCTGTGGGCACCCCTATGTTCGCATTCAGCGAGACAGGATGAACCCTCACTGAAGGGAGCCGCCAGTTGGGCCTGCCCAAGCGCGGGATACACCGGCCTTGTTTTCTGTTTTATTTTTTTCACGTTTTTTGTTTTTTTTCTTTCTTTTTTTATACTTCCAAATATTTTAAATAAATATATTTAAAAACACTCTTCATAAAAACATTTGACCAAGAATTTGAAAAATGTTAAACGTGTATAGAAAAAAAGTTTATTACGTATAGGAAAAATGTATGAAAAAAAGTATTAGCTTGTTGTCATGCGGAACATTAAATGCAGAGAGTAGGTATTTCTGTCCAGTTAAAGCGAAGATGTAACAGAGCAGACCAACATCTAACCATTCCAAATGACAACAAGCTAGAGTAGAACAATTGTCTTCTAAACTCAGTCTACTTCCTGCAGTCAATTAGCTGCTTATAGATAGGTAGAGCTGATCAGATCCGGACAGGTTACTGCAAAAAATTGTAGGAATTTGTCTTGTTTTTCAAAAAGGAGGATAACCCCCAGCCCCCAGCCTCTGCATCGAGCGATGCACACTTCTAAGATGGAAGGCTTTGAGGTTTCCCTTCGCTTTTTCGTTAACGGGAGATTTTTCTGAGAGAGGAAACCATGCAAAATCTTGAAGATCAATGCTAATGATCTGGCAATGGTGAGCGTCTGTGCAATGCAGCACCAAATGGAGATATAATAATGGTTTACCTGCCACAGTTCTTGGTTCAAATACCAGTTCAATGGCAACGTCCATCTTACTAGCTAATACGTAGTCAAACTTGACAAATGAGTACAATTTTGAGTTGCAAGATACTGACCTTCCATTGGGACAACTGTGTTACATAAGCTACATAACAAGACAACAATCTAAGCAAAGATAAATTCTACTACCACTACAACTGACAACAAGCTACATAACAAGACAACTGAGTTCTAAACACATTTTAGTTCCTCCAGCTGATGGTGATTAAAGAGCATGGGGCAACATCTAGCTAGCTGTTTCACCATATGCAGTCATTGAAAGTGGTCTTAGTTGACTGACCCAAGAGGTTCTGTCCACATATAGCTTCCAGTCGAGATCCCTATGATGCCACTCTGTCGATGCGGATGTGTACAGTGAGTTCACCAGATGAGCTCTCGGCGAATTCCAGAGGAACCAGCAAGAAGAAGTTGCCCATCTGAACTCCACCCGCCAGCGAGCTGCTTGACACGTGAGGATCCTTCTGGAACACAAGCCTCCCATCGGTTTTCCCACCAGCAGCCGAGATGTTGCACGAATAGCTCGGTTCAGACTCATGGGGCCTGACGCAGACCACGGCGAGAGCACTGCCGATGCTGGTCAGGGTGTTTATCAGGAGGAACAAGGACATGTCCTCCCCAACTAGAAGCGTGAACCGGCGGTCTCGTGCCAAGGGGATCTTCAGTGGCTTGTTGTAACCCAAGTTGGTCGGCGACCATCCGTGTGCGGTGACGAAGTGGTCCAGCAGGCAACATGCCGGCGCTTTGAAGGCGCAGTTGTCCTCTGGGCAGTAGCATGGAGCATGTGGGCATGAACTCTCATGCTTCTCTTTCTGCTGGTAGCCGACGAACTCGTTGCAGCCGTATGTTTGGTTCGAGCATGGCACTTTCATGGCATCGATGAACTGCTCGAGCTCGACGCAGCGGGAATAGCTAGTGCTTTTGCAACACAGAGCGCAGAACGTACCCAGTCTCAAAACGTGCCCAACCTCACGGAGCTTTTCCGGGCACTGAGAACACAAAACGTGCCCAGCCGCACACTGAAGAAACATAAGAATATTAGCATAACGATCAGCAGCAACAAAAAGAAAAGGATAATGAACTGGAGAAAAATGAACAGTGTGTAATGCCTCTCCACAGTCCTTTCATCAGTTATTAACAACTGAGTGCAATGCAAGCAGAAACATGAAAGATACCAGTCATCAACATAGTAAATCATAAGCATTTCACTACCAACGACTAGAGAAATAACAGGCTGCTCGTAAGTTATGTTATGGAAAATTATATTCAGTTGTGAAACGAACAACTAAGATCCTACTCCCTCCGTTCCAAAATAGATGACTCAACTTTGTACTAACGGAGGGATTACATAGTAAGTGAGCAGCTAAAGTGGCATTTGATTACAACCCAGCAAATTGGAAACTGCGTTCTGACTGCTACAAATTCAGTTTTCAGATACCAGCAATCAGGATCCTACAAGGTACCATTTTGTTATCCTAGCAAGAACAGCATGAGCCAAACAAGTAAATGGAAAACATGTTTCTTCAACAAGCAAAAAGGGAAAATGCAATTTATGGCACATAAATGTTGATCCACTGACATTCTTAAATTTCAGAGAAAACAGCAGGCGTTACCCATGCAGTATTTACTGGTAACCAGGGAGAAGAGGTTCTTATTTTTACTCCCAACAACAATCAGGAAAACGTCTACATCGATGCACTCGGAAGAAGAAAGTGCAGCATACATACAGTTCATAACAGAGTGCATTGCGTGCAGAAACAGGAAGCGTACAATCAATCATCCACATATTTTTCGACAAAGATCGATCATCTACATAGTAAGGGATAGCTAAATTCGCACTTTACTAAACAAACTGTCCCTCAAGTTATGCTATGGAAAACGTATTCAGTTTTTGAGACACCAACAATTAAGAACCTACAGACGAGTAATAAGAGAGCAGCTACACTAGGATTACAGAAATTGAGTCCTAACTACTACCCTGTTCAGCTTTGACACACCACCAATCAAGGTCCTACATAGAAATAGACCATCTAAAATAGCATTCCACTACTACCCACTAGATTGGAAATTCAGTCATAACTGACACAGTTTCGGCTTCGAGACACCAACAGTTAACATCCTACAAGCTCCCATCTAGGAATACACTGACATGTTGTTCCACTGACATTATGCCTCCTAAATTTCAGAGCAAATAGCAGGCAACTTGGCCAACCATCTATAAGCAGTATGTGCTAAACTAGCATGTCACTATTACAGACTAGATTGGAAACTGGGTCCTAGCAGCTACATATTCAGTTTGCACACACAACCAATCAAGACCCTACAAGGTGCCACTTGTTCATCCTACCAAGAACAGCAGCATCCAGAAAAGTAAATGGAACTACTTTTTCTTTGAGAATCAAACAAGGAATAACTGCAATTTAAATTCATGCCACGGAAATGCTAATCCACTGCCTTATCACATACTAATTTCAGAGAAATGCAGTCAAAAAATTCAGAGAAAATGGCAGGCATGTTTCTGCGTGCACTACAAGCTACAGCAGCCTACAATTACTACGAGGGAGAGAAGCATCTACATCGATATATACTCTTAAGTATCCATCCACCCAGAAAAGAAAAAAAGTAAACTCAGGAACAGAGATCGAATGCGGCGGGTGCCCATGGAGCAATCTACATCGATATACTCTTACAAAGAAGAAAGTGCACTTAAATATAGTTCATAACAAGAGTGCAACGCGAGCAGAAACAAGCTGCCCCTCAGTAATGTTATGGAAAACCATATTCAGTTTTGGGACACCAACAATTAAGATCCTACGTAGTAAGAGAGCAGCTAAACTAGCATTTCATCAATAGGTCTGAAATCGAGTCCTAAGTACTACCCTGTTCAGCTTTGAGACACGAACAATTATGATCCTATGTAGTAGGAGGCCAGCTAAACTAGCATTCCATTACTACCCACTGGATTGGAAATTCAGTCACAACTGCTACATATTCAGCTTCGATACAACAACTGTTAACATCCTACAAGGTGCCATTCAGTAATCCTAATATCCTGGCAAGAATACCAACAGCCAAACAAGTATAAATGTTTGGAAATGTTGCAATATATGCCACCGAAATGCCGATCTGCTGTCATTATGCCTCTTAAAATTCAGAGCAAATGACAATAAGCACTACGTGCTGAAGTAGCATCTCACTACTATCCTACTATCCGAGCAAGAATACCAGCAGCTACATTCAGTTATCACACACAAAGAATCAAGACCCTACAATGTGCCATTTCCCATTTGGTCATCCAACCAAGAACAGCAGCATCCAGAAAATTAAAACGGAACATATTTTCCTCTGAGGAGCAAACAAGGAATAACTGCAACCTACGCCATGGAAACGTTAATCCACTGGCATATTAACTGCTATACTGGAAAGTGAGTCCTAAATGCTGCCCTGTTCAGTTTTGAAACACCAGCAATTAAGATCCTACTAGTATGAGACCAGCTAAAACTAGCACTCCACTGCTGCCCACTAGATTAGAAATTCAGTCATAAGTGCTGCACTTGTTTTTAGCTTGGAGACAGCAACAGTTAACGTCCTACAAGGTCCCATTTAGGAATCCTAGCAAAATGTGCTAGGCCAGCATGTCGCTAGTACAGATACATAGTAGACTGAAAACCGATTCCTAGCTGCTAGACATTCAGTTTTCACACGCAACCAATCAGGACCCTACAAGGTGGCATGTGTTCATCCTACCGAGAAGCGCGGCATTCAGAAAGGTAAACGGACCATCATCTTTTCCTTCCGAGGAGCAAGCAAGGAATGACTGCATTCAGAAAGCATAGATGGGAAATACGCAACATACGCCATGGAAACGTTGATCCAGTGACTTAGATTTCAGAGCAAATGGCAGGAAACTTTCGCCTGCTGTCTATATGCAGTATGTGCTAAACTAAGCATGTCACTAGTACACAGACTAGCTAGATTGGAGACAGGTTCCTAAATGTTGCATACTCGGTCCGGCACGCAACCAATCAGGACCCTGCAAGGTGCTATTCGTGCATCCTACCAAGAACAGATGAAGCATCTTTTTCCTTTGATTAGGAGACAAGGCACAACTGCAATTCAAGCCAGTGGAAATGCCAATCCACTCCACTGGCATCATATCAGATAGTACACATTTCAGAGAAAACAGCCCATGTGCGGTAGTAGCGGCCTACAGCCTACTGGTATCAGTGAGAGGAGCAGCTACGGCCACATCTGATGCACACTCTGCTCTCAGGAACCCATCCGGGCAAATGAAATTAAAGAACAAGAAGAGGGACGGAATGCGGCGGGAGGTGTCACCTTGAAGATGGGCGGCTTGAGGGGCTCGGAGCAGATCCTGCAGCAGAGAGCTTTGGACTGTATCTTGACGGTCACCTCGCCGCTCGGCCTCTCCCCTTCTTCCGCCGCCGCCGCCGCCGCAGCCGCCGCCGCGTCTGGCTCTGACCCGGCTCCCAGGTCCTCCGTCTTGGTCCTCTTCACCGAAGGTTCTTCCGCCATGGGCGGGCAGCCCTCAATGGGGGCGGCTCGGAGCAGAGCCGAGGTGTGCGTGGCAGGGAAGGGAAGGGGAACCGGGGAAGCAGAGCTTGTGCGAGGCCAGGTTTAGGTGAGGGTTTGGTTGTGCTGGCTGTCGAGATAAAATGCCAGTGGTGAAAATAAAAATGAGCGGCTAGGCGTCAGTCGGATAAAAAAATTATATTTTGCAGAGGATCGGTCGATTTCCCCCTCCTATCCCAACCTCCTTTTGAATACGTCGGATAAATTTATAGTGTGCTCCATCTTCAACCTTGAACTTTATGCGGAGCTTCTCTTCTATCTCTCACCGCCGTCAGCCCAGCCCAGAACTACCTAACCTCCGCCGCCTCACCTTCCCCCCACCACCGGGCTTACCACCACCCTCGGTCATCCCTCTAAACCGGCGAACCACCTGAAAT